TCCCGCAGCGACTCGGCCGCAGGATCAGCTGGGCGAACGGAGGCTTCGCTCGCAAAGTCTGTCTGGTCTTTTCTTGTGTTCGTTAGTGAGTGACAATGTCTGCGACCGGGGAGAAAGTGGTGGACACGGCCGAGGAAGTGGCCGAAGACGTGGGTCATGCTTATGGTTCTTGGTTTAAGAGTTACATGAAGATCTTTGGGCGGAGGGCGTTGGAATGGTTCCTTGTTTACATGTTTGGTTACTACAACGTGAGCTTCGGATGGCTGATGGCGCCGCTATTTTTCCTTGTCCTGCGAGACAAGAGAGCCAAGGAGAAGAAGATCAAGTTCGACATCATCCGATCCATAGCCAACGCTGACGAGAAGGATATTATCCAAGAAATCCAACGCTTCTCCAACCTCCCGTCGTGGGTAAGTTGCCAGCCTCGTCTTGGCCCACCCACTCAACCCTCTCTCTTCGCCGCTCTTTCCTCGCCTGGCATTCTTGACTGCTCTCGGGTGGTTAGTCGTCGCTTCGTGACATCTGGCACCGACTTCTGCCACGAACGTCAGTCATTAACAATGAAAATTATGATAACCATTGTCAAAATAATTTCCACTCTTTACCTCTACACACCCCCACCCACACACCGCTTGGTTTGTAACATATGTTGTATTTATTGCGCGGGAAAGCTGAAAAAGGACTAGGAGAACAACCACCATTGATTACGATAAGGTTTATCCAACTGTCAGTCTATGTAAAATTTCGGTCTCGCCTGACAGTGATCGAGAACGCAAGAATTCCCAAACTTACGTTCCGTGACCTTGGTTGGAAAGCAGAAATGAAGTTGCCGGTTGCCATTTATTTCCTGGTGATTACCCCCACCCCCCCACGTCACCTAGAGATAGAGTACCAAGTAGGCTCGACAGCCTGGGGCAACTTTACCTGGTATACCCCCTCTTCCGGGTTATGGAGGGGGGGGGTGACTTTGACCTTCCGCGATTCAAATACGCACAGACGAACAAACAGTCCAAACTATGGTAATTAGAATTCTAGAGATGCGTTTCTCTTCTCTCACACACCCACCCACCCTCCCACCCACTCACTCACTCACTCACTCACCCATCCTCCCCTCCCTCCTCCTCCTTCCCTCCCTCCTCTCCTTCCCTGCCTCCTCCCCTTCCCTGCCTCCTCTCCTTCCCTCCCTCCTCTCCTTCCCTCCCTCCTCTCCTTCCCTCCCTCCTCTCCTTCCCTCCCTCCTCTCCTCTCCCTCTCCACTCTCCACTCTCCACTCTCCCCTCTCCCCTCTCAATGCCCCTCCCCTCTCCTGCCTCTCTCCCCTCCCCTCTCCTCCCCTCCCCTCTCTCTCTCCCTCCCCTTCTCCCCTCCCCCTTCTCCCCTCCCCCTCCTCCTCTCTCCCTCTCTCCTCTCTCCTCTCTCCTCTCTCCCCTCCCCTCTCTCCTCTCTCCTCTCAATCTGTTAACCTCCGTGAACCTGTTTCTCCATTTCCCGTTTGCACAAGTTAGGTAGTCGAGTTTCGAGACTTTCTTCCTAATATTGTATTTTATCCTGTTTTTCTTTATTTATTCCATTTAGAATCTTCCTTGAATGTTTACAACGGTTAGGCAAATTTTGTTGTATGTTCTATATATACATGTATATGTGCAGATGGACATCCAGATGTACAACAGGTATATGTAGAAAAGGTATGACTGAAAATGAATATCTTCACAATACAAGAGATGTCTTTGACCGGTTTCGATGATATCTTCGTCAGAAATACATGTATTTCTGACGAAGATATAATGCATTTTCATTCATACCTTTTCTACACTTGTCAACATGAATAAGGTTCAAATACACCCCCCCATGAATTCCCATTCCCATTCCCACACCCACTCCAAATCTCAGTTCCACTCACCGACACCTACACCCACACCCACACCCACCTACACCCACTTACACCCACTTACACCCACTTACACCTACCTACACCCACCCACACCCACTTACACCTACCTACACCCACCTACACCCACACACACCTACACCCACATCCACACACACCTACACCCACACACACCTACACCCACATCCACACACACCTACACCCACACACACCTTCATCTATACTTACAGCTACCAGCACCCACTTGCACCCACACCCACTTACATCCACACCCACTTGCACCCACACCCACTTACACCCACACCCACACCCACTTGCACCCACACCCACTTACACCCACACCCACTTACACCCACACCCACTTGCACCCACACCCACTTACACCCACACCCACTTGCACCCACACCCACTTACACCCACACCCACATGCATATCCACACCTACTCTACACCTGTACCTATCCTTACACCAACATTTACACCCACACCTACGTGAACAACAACATCCACACTTACGCCAATGGCCTCGCTTACGTCCACGCCCTCACACTTACACTCACGCTCTCACGATTATACTAACCACACTTTGACCCGCACCCATACCGTGCCCATA